ATTTAGTTGTTCAAAAGGGCCTTGGATTAATATATGTTGAACAGATGCACCTTCTGGCTGTATCATTTAAGTTATTAAGCACTACATGAAAATGACAAGAAGATTTCCCTTTTGGGCAATTTATTCATAATACGGGCCTGTTATGAAAGCATATGAAATGGATATGTCGTGTCTTTTGCATGCGTGTCGACTGGAGCTTCATTTAAGGTTATTAATACTGACAGTACTAGTGTTCTCGAGAGTTTTGTTACTAATATGAACCTGATTGCTACGGGAGCGAGCTTGCCCCCCCTTGGAGGTGGTAAAGTTTTCCGGAGATCCGTGTGAATTCTATAAATTCAAAACACGTTTCCATTAAATGGTGGAGTCTCAGAATCTGTCTGACGCACAAAAGATGTCCCGTTTGCTGCAGTTTCTCGAGGGTAACGCAAAAAAGGCTGTAACAATTGAATCCAGCTGACGACGCTTCCCGTGGTTTGAAGCCCCAGAAATTGACCGATCAGTATCGTTGGCGGAAGGGACCAGAGTTTCTATGGGAATCAGAAGAGAATTGGCCTGAAGCAGAGATTGGCGCAGTCTCACAAGACGACCCTGAAGTTTGGGATGAAGTGCAAGTTCATTTAATCAAGATTAAAAACCGTGACGCTGGACTCAACTCAGAAGCTCCATGCATTTACAAGATGATGACTCACTATAGCTCGTGGTTAAAGTGACAATGTTGGGTTGCTTGGCTAGTGCGCTTTTGCCATTGGCTAAAAAGCCGGAAAACCTCTTCAAGTACAGAAGCATTAANTTTTGAAAAAAAAAAGCGTTTTCTGTAGTTTGTTTTATTATTATAAAAAACAAATAGATTCCATGTTGCTGTGCGCCTGTTCAGTAATAGGTCATAGAAGATGTCAAAATGTGGTAAGAACATCAGTGACACACTCGGCTATCGCCTCGTGTGCCACCTTTTTGTTCTTACCACATTTTGACGTCATCTGTGATCTATTACAGAACAGACGCACGGCAACATGGAATCTATTTGTTAATTAGAAAGATCGCTAAGTGCATGTACACCTACATGTAGCTATCGTACATACACCCAGCGATCGTTCTAATCAGTAGTCGATCAGTACGCTTAATAATCGTACCTGAAACTAAGTACGATTAATAATCGTACATGCACCTAGCGATCTTTCTAATCAGTGGGGATCAGTAATCGTACCTGAAGCTAAGGACGATTAGTAATCGTACCTGGCAATCTTTTTAATCAGTGGGGGATCTGTAATCATACTTAAAACTAAGTATGATTAATAATCGTACATACACGTAGCAATCGTTCTAATCAGTAGTCGATCAGCACGCTTAATAATCGTACCTGAAACTAAGTACGATTAATAATTGTACATGCACCTAGCGATTTTTGTACTCGGTAACTTTAGGTTAATTTCTATCAATGATGGCTACCAGCACAGTGTCACCTGTAGTGTTAATCTATTACTCCTTGAATTTCATGTTGATAAGGTGAAATTAAAGAGATTAAAGCCCTAAACAAACATGGAATGCATTTTAATGAAATGATTGATAACAGAGTACAAAGAGCGCTTGGCATATATACGCTTGTTAATCGTGCATTTCTTTCGGTATAGGCCAATAGTGGCTTTATTCCTTTCACTCGTCCAGGACACTTGTCACGTTTTAGTGTCGCGTTACACTTGAGAGAACCATGCCCGTGTTGGCGTAAAAAAAAAAAACTCTGACAGCCGTCAAACACCCATTTCTATCATTGGCTATTTAAGTGACATGAGACATTTGACAACTCTTCTACCTCTGTACCGACTCTTTGAGGCTTTTACCACAAGACCTTAGACTTTTATGCAAACGTTATTTTTCAACCGATTTGAAGTGAAATTTGCTCTCGCTATACTGAGAACTGATCTCATTGCTTGTTTACGTGACACTGATTCCGTTCGCTAATTGCTATATCTGATCACACAAGGCTTTCACCGCGATGACCACATGAATTGGACGATGGCAAAACCTGGGATTGCTGAAAGCAACAAAAAACTTTGCAGGATTTGTATGATTGTCATGCGGGTTTTAGAGATGATACCAGTGAAAAACTTGATAAATAAATCGGAGGGAACATAGACGTTAGGTTAGCTTTGATTTTGATTTTGCTGGAATATATATTGCACAATATGCCATAAAGAACTCATAGAGGTGAGAATAAATCTATATAAAATTCTGTAGAAAAGTGGATGTTGCGATGGTGTACTGATACTGTACTGGTAATGTACTGCCCTTAAAAGCTGGAGAAAATGTTCTTCCCGCGAGAAAAGGGCGCCAAATGTTAGCAAGAGTTGAATTCTCGAATGTTAACCGGTTTTCTGAGTGTTCATGGTAGCTAAAAGTTCTTCAGTCTCGCAAGGAGTTTCTCCAGGCATAGGGAATTTAAACCTTACAAAGAAAAGGGGAATATATCATGGGAAGGTTTGGAATATATTTTTCCAACTGG